CTCGTATGTGGGTTGCCACCATAGCATGGCTGCTGCCAAGTGGTGTAGGTCTGCACCTAGGAACTGAACCTGGGCAGCCAAAGCAGAGTGTGCCGAACTTAACCACTAGGCCACAGGGCCGACCCTATACAAGTATTCTTACAATAATAACTGCTGTTTATAATATGCCAAGAACTAAGTTAGGGTCTTCTACAAACATTATTGCACTTGTCCACACAATAGTCCTGCGCAGAGGAAAATGGGTTCAGAGAGGTTAAATAATGCTTTCATGGTCAGACAGGTAGAAAATGATGGGGTCCAGATTTGAATCCAGACATCTTTGATTTCAGTCACATTCCATTAGGCCAAGCTGCCTCCCAAAAAGCTAAATTTATGGCTATCTTATTGTGCCAGGTACTCTTCTACACATCATTCCAAATTTTCACAAAACCCTGTGAAGTAGGTACTATTTTCTGAACATTACAAATGAGGAGACCAAGGCTCTAAGAATTTAAGCAATGTGGCAGAAGTCACACAACTGGTATGCAGTAAGCCAGCACTTCCATCCACATATGTCTGGTACCAAATTGCATGCTTTTTGCCTTCAATTGATCAGTCATTGGTCATTAAGATGACCAAGATGTTGGTGAAAATATTTGCTACAAGTCTACTTTTATTCTTTTAAATGCTTATATAGAGAGCAAAACTATAATAATGGGATTGCAAGAAAAAGTATAATGTGATAACTGTATTTTCTGGGTAGGTGAGAGATATTTCAAGAACTCTTTTTTTTATTTCAATTTTGATTAAAAATCTTTCTAAAATGTATTATTCCACTTCTCTTAGTAAGTATATCATAATTCAGGGAACGGGATCTTTGCTGATTTAGGATTTAAAAGAATTCCCTTATTTAATATTGATTCTCATTTGTAGGAAATTGGGCCAATGTGTATTGATTCTAGTTTTTCCTGGAATAACTGCCATATTAATAGATTCCTTATATGATACTGTTGGAGATTCTGGTTAATGTGTTTAAAATGAACTGATTTTTTTTTTGCTGAGGAGGATGTGCCCTGAGCTAACACCTGTGCCAGTCCTCCTCTATTTTGCATGTGGGTCGCCACCACAGCATGGCCGCCAGCGAGTGGTGTAGGTTGGCACCGGGAACCAAACCTGGGCCGCTGAAGTGGAGCATGCTGAACTTAACCACTAGGCCATGGGGTTGGCCCCCATAACGAACTGAATTTTTAATACTGCTTATCCCCAAATAAAAGGTGAGGATTTTTTCCTCCCCAAATTTGGGGATGTACAATCTCCATATTATGGGGGTATTTTCTTAATTACTTTATTTTGAATAATAATGTGCTGTTTAGGGAATACACATTAGCCTAAAACAGCTTCAGTCAAACTAGTTTAGGATGCTTATAGAGGTCAAATGATGAATGAGTAAAAAAGGCAGCAAAGATATTTAAGACTAAAGATTTAGCAATTCTTTGTAGGTGTACAATCTCATAATTCTAAGTGTTGGAAATCATTGTAAACAAACCCTTTAAGAATCCCTTTCAAAACTAACATAGTGAGGGCTGGCCCGGTGGCATAGTGGTTAAGTTCACACGCTCTGCTTTGGTAGCCTAGGGTTTGCCGGTTTGGATCCCAGGCACAGACCTACACCCTGCTCATCAAGCCATGCTGTGGCAGGTGTCCCACATATAAAATAGAGGAAGATGGGCACAGATGTTAGCTCAGAGCCAGTCTTCCTCAGCAAGGAAAAAAAAGAGGATCGGCAGCAGATGTTAGCTCAGGGCTAGTCTTCCTCAAAAAAAAAAAAAGTAACATAGTGGGGCCAGTTCAGTGGCTAGTGGTTAAGTTCACATGCTCTGCTTCAGTGGCCCATGGTTCACCGGTTTGGATCCTGGGTGCGGACCTACACACAGCTCATCAAGCCATGCTGTGGCAGCATCCCACATAGAAGAACCAGAAGGACTTACAACTAGGATATACAACTATGTAATGGGACTTTGGGGAGGAAAAAAAAAAAAGAGGAAGATTGGCAACAGATGTTAGCTCAGGGCCAATCTTCCTCACCACTACTACCAACAACAAAAAGTAACAGAAAATGGTTACATTGTGAAGATGAAGAGCTTATTCTTATAGCACAACCAATATAATCAACACTAATATTACATGAAATGGGTACCCATGTGTTGAAATAAGTTTTCAGAAACAGCATTACATGTGGAATCAAAGAATTCTGAAGCACACGTAACTTAGAGGTGAGGATGACGTGCTTTGGAAACTATGGGATGACTCAAAAGAGGGCTTCAGTGATGTCATCGTATGAGAAAATGCATATCAAGAATTTGCACAGATGCATTTCATAAACTGTGAGAGTGGGAAAAGCAACCTACTACGTGATTTTAAGTAAGCAATCAGGCCTGATACACCTGCTGGATCCCTAGAATTTAAAAGACCCTTTCCTGGCACTCTGTCTGATCCTGTGATAGAAACCCTTTTTGCTCATGGTGGAAGCTCAAGGAAGGCCAGAAAACCCCCGCCGAGGCTGTGCCCAGTCAAGATCTCGTGGATAAGAGATGTTAATAACAAAACTACAATACATGTGTTTACTCACCAAACTTTATGCCAACCCAAAACTCAGTTCCAAGAAATTATTAAGTCACCTGATACCCTTGCCAAGTAAATATGCCAAGACAAAATGGACTTTCCTACTGCTTAGAGTCTTTCCCAACTGGTCTGATCTTGCAAATCATTTTGTTTTTGCGTAAGCAATGGCTCTAGGTGCCTTCATTTTAAGATGAAGCTGGGCAATGACTGTCTGTTGATTACTGGAACCATCTGAGGGCCTTCAGTGGAACCGGTATGTGAAAACTGGGAATGTAGGTAGTCTCATTCTCAGAAGATCTTGATCTTTAGTAACCAGAAGAGATGAACATGCAAATAAAGAGAGGAGGTTTGAAGGTTATTTGTCTTTATGGACTTTCGCTAGTTCAAAAATTGGCTTCCCTTGTAAGAAGACTATGTTGGCAAGTTCCATCTCGATTCCCACAAGAATTTTTGCGATGGGAGCGATAATGGTTTCAGATGTGGCTGCTGCATTTTGGGCATTTTTCGGGGGTGATAAAACTGACCTGAATTTCACTGGATACTCCCACCCTTCTGTTCCCCCTGGAACACTAGAAAGGTCAAAGGAGGAGGATAAAGTTCAGATGTGTTTTGAGAATTTCTAGAATTGCTAAGTCCTTGTACATCTGGGGGCTGAAATGTAAAATAAAATAATGAGATAAGATATCAACAAATCCTCCTAAGGTAAAGTCTCTTTTTAATTTTTAACAGAACAAGATTTAACTAGCAAAGTCATGTGCTCTGGAGGCCCTGGAGGAATTCCTAATAGACTCTTTAAACTTGTGTTTCTGAAGCAATTTCTTGGATGCAGGAAAAGCGGTTTCTCTGAAATGCTATTAATATTACACTTTTATTTCCTAATTCCAAGTTTCTAAACGTCCTTTTGTTTCCTTTCATTCTTTTGTATTTTCTAGTGAAGAAAAAGGGGCAGCCTGGTGACAAATTCCATTGCTTCTTATAGAGTTTGCAACACATGTTAAACATACTCACGGGAAAATAATCTTAGTTGGGATACATATGTATGTATATTATGTATATTTATAGACAAGAGAGGGAAGGAAGTTATGTCTTTAGTTCACTAAAAGATGAATTCCTTTTCTTGACAATATTTTTTCAGCTTTATAAAAAAATTACATGGAGTTTCCATCTGACGAAGTATCCTAGACATTTCAGCAAAGTGAAGCAAATATTTCTGAATTCATATGCCCTTGGTACTCCTCAGCAAATTATATACTTCCTCTTATCAAGGACATGTTTAATGTCCTTCCTGCTTGCAATTATAACCTTTATTACCTAGACTGAAAACTCCTAGAGTAAGTAAGATGTACACTTCCAAAGTTAAATCATCTTTAGAAAAGCTATACTATTTACTCATCCGATTATGATCACTAATGGTCATTACATTAGGAGGCAGAGCCAGGTCCTTATGTTCAAATCTGGGTTCACACCAAGAAAGCCCAACACCACAATGGTCTCACAATTTGGTGTTCTTCCTCTGGCACCAAGCGATCTGATAACTAGCAGGATAAATCCTCTGGGTAGAGCTGGCAGTTTTTACTATATCTAAATCAAATCAACAAAGAATTTCCCTAAAATCTCCTGTGAAAATACCATTTCATGTAAGTACAAATAATCATCAATCAAAAATATTTATATCTATAAATATCAAATACCAACCAGGTAAAAAGCACCAAACTAGAACTTGGTAAACACATGGCTATGCAAGTAGGAAGTCCATGATTGAAGTCAAGATCCAAAGGAGGGATGTGGGAGCAAAAATTTCCTCTCTAGTTTTCTAATTTATTCCGAGAGGTATATTAGCACATTTAAAAATGTTTTATTTACCAACATTTTAGAAGATATTTTTTTGTTTTGTTTTAAGTTTCTTTAAGTAATGCCAAGAATATAGATCATTTTTTTATATATCAGTGAGCAAATGAGGCCTCATAAGGAACAAGCCTTCAAAACTCACAAATTAACTCGAATGTCTAGCTTAAAGGTTGTAAAGTTTGCATCGGGATCTCAATAACTATTTTTTACAGTAATTGCTGTTATGTTAAATTTTGTGTAAATCTGACCAGAACTACAAAAGGTTATATGAGAAATAAGTTTAATAATCTGAAAAGTGTTGGCAAACATGCAAACCCAAATTGTCAAAATATTTTATATTTTCTTTTACTTACCACATTAACTTTTTCTCAAGCTATGATTTTACTTTTAAATGAAGATTCAACTCCTAAATCTTCTTGGAAAGAATTAGCAAATATTTTGGACAAAGACTGTTTACCAAGCACTAAAAAGTCCGTGATATTCTTTTCTACGTTGATACCTATTCTGATTTATACCTCATAATTCCTAAGTGAGGAACCTGTGTGGCTTACCCTATTGAAGCAGTGTTCATGGTGGGGTCCATAAAAATGCTGGAGACATCTCACGTTGTTTTTGTTGACAATCTTGTTGAAGAATTCATTGACATATTTGACAGGGAATGCACAGACGGCAGAGCGATTCATTGGTTCAGCAGAATCTGGCTTGCTCTGTGCAAACACCCCATAGAGAATGTCATCATTCAGGTTGGCACCTATTTGCTTAGCAAGATGAGCCCCAGGCTTACTGACATACGCAGCTTGGAGGATATTAAACACTTCCTCACTTGTGGATCTCTTTCTTCTCTTTTCTGTGAGAATACACTCCAGAGGCATTTCCATGTAGGAATGCAATCCAGAGTCCACGGAACAGAACCTGATTATTCTTGTGTGAAAAGTCTGAGCATCTAGAGTTTCCCGTTGGACCGTTAAAAAGTAAATAAAATGGTTGCTTTCAAAGGCGTGGATATACTTAATGGGGTAAGAATCTCGGAACTCAGGTAGAACATCAATATAGGACTGATCTGTCAAAAACTTAAAACCATCTTGCGTTTCCTTTAGCCTTCTCACCGATATCGAATGCAATGAATGATCTGGAAGGTAAGAAGAATTTATGGTATTGCCCACGAAGAAGGTGACAAATCGGTCCTTTTCAGACAGCAGGACTTTGGTTCCCAGGGCACTCACCACACAGTCAGGACACTGGTGGGGCTCTTCTGCTTGTGGAGAGTACATGCAATAAACTTCTGACTGTATGTCAGCAACATTGTTGAGTGGAAGGACGTGCCGCTGGCAGGTCCCTCTGTGGACGCTGCCGCAACTAATGAGTTGATCGTCATAGTATGTGTCAACAAGCAGAGCCATGTTGATGTTATCTTTCCAAGCGCCACCTGATAAATTGGCTTTGCGGCTGCAGTCCTGACATGGGAAACAATCTGGGTGTTCCAGCACGGGCCCAGTCTTGTACTCAGCAACTTTCTGAAGATCTTTGTCATTTAAAACATAAATGTAGTTAGTGGCCCCGAGGTAAATGTGATGCTTGTGTAAAACGACGTTCTGGATGGGTGTTTCTGCAGTGAAGTTGGGAAGCTGATACTTCATGTTCACATTCATCTCGGACTTTACTAGCGCCTCTTTACACTCCCCATCGCTCTTCTGCACCAAGGTAAACAGAAGCACAAGGATGCCAGGTGCAAGCACAGCAGGTGCCTTCATGGTGAGAAGTTTATCTGCCAAAACATGTTCAAGGCAAGAGCAGTTTAGTTGCCATTAGAAACAAAGAAGAAGAAACTGAAAGAACTACACCAGTTAAAGTATTACAAACAAAGCTTCCTAACAGGAATTTTTACATTGAGTGAAAACAAAAAACTCTAGCTGGTTTCACATAAAGATGCATTGTGTGGTTGGACATGACTCTACATAGTTTAATTTTAGAACTCAAGCCATGAACAAGTAATTTTAGAGAACCATTATGAGATGCAAACAATGTTCTGTACTAAGGATGATACAACAACTAAGTTAGACTCATTCAGCAACAAAGTCAGAAACACAGCAAATTCCTTTCTTAACCCCTTGCTGGTTGTTTAAAGTGGTTTAATATCTGTGGTTAATGACTAGGCTGATATTTAAACTTTCTCAGTTAGTCAAGTAAAGGAATTGTGGTTCAGATTCATTTATTCTAGAAATCACAGCAGGCATTGTTTTCTTGGGAGCATGTAGAATTGCTAGGCTAAATTTAGCTTCCTTTTGGAAGAAAACAATCATAAATTCTAGAAGCAATACGATCACATGCTGTTTATAGGATTTTGTGTGCAGAGGAAAGGTACGGTTATAATTTGGCTATAGTTGACTTATTGTTTTGGATAGACAAACGCTTAACTTAATGTAAGATCACTGGGAACATAAAAACAGCAAGCCGAAAATGTATAAAATAAAATATAACCTTCAGGACTAAAGTCCTAGAATTATTTCTCAGGGAAAAACAATATATTGTTCTTACCAGGTCAAAAGCTACTAAACAATAAAAAGAACATTATTTTAACATTCCGTTGTATGCACATGAACAATATTTCTACTAGGAAGCATGAGTGGATGTTATGCAGTTTTTAAAAACTTAAAGTGCACAAGTTATAAACACTGTGAGTTCTACGTATAATAGCTATAGGCAGGGTGGTAGGTTGGAAAGGAGAGGCCTTAGAAGGAAAAGAAACCAAATAGCTATTACATGTTTTTTTTAATGCAAAATTCTGACAGGACAGTGGGAGGCTCTAGAAACATACTGGGCATTATAACTATGCCAAAGACTAACCCTGGGTCTACAAAATTACAACAGAATTCACTTAGCAACCAGTATGTACATGGCTCTGTGTTTGCACTATGGGAAATGTGACATGGCGCCTACCCTTGAGTAAACCTACAATGAGGTCAAGAGATAACATCCACATGCAAATAACTTTGATACACAGTATTATAATACCTCACATAGCACAAACCAGAAGCCAAAAGCATCAAGAGAAGGAGGCATGGCCTGTGCTTAGGATTACTATGATTATCAGAAATATGTGAGGTCCAGGAGAGCAAGGACAACGCCTGCTGGCTCATCACTCTATCCCAAGTACCTGACATGGAGCCTAGGACACAGTAGGTGTTAAACAAATATATGTTGAATAAATGAGTGAATAAAAATGAAGCAATAAGTTCAAAATCACAGAACAGATAAGTATATCAGTCAGAACTTGAATCCAAATCTTTTTGACTTGAAAATCAAAGATAATTTTAGTTTACTAAATTGATAGGAATTGCAGACATTATTTAAGAGCTAATAGAAAGTCACTGTAGGGTTTTGAGCTGGAGAGACATATAACCAAGGTTTTACTCTAGAAAGATTAAGCTGGAGGCAAAGTGGCTTAGAGCAGGGGGAATCTGGTAATGGGAAGACCATATGAAGGCTATTATTATAGCCCTTAACAAAGTAGTAAGGGCCAGAACCAAGATGGTGGCCCATAGAAAGGAAGGGATGAAGGAGAGACATATTTGAACAAATAAGATTTGACACTTAAATTGGTGGCTCACAAAGGAGAAGGCAACAATGATTAGCAGTCATCTGGGAAACAGTGGAACAAGTTACAAAACTAGAGTAGTCGGTAGGAGAAGTCAGGCTAAAGACTGGGGAATATGATAAGTTGGTTTTAAACATTGTGAGTTTGATGTGTTACTGAGAAATGAGTGAAAATGTTCTACTGCGTGGATGATTAGCAGGTGTTACATTATTCACTAGGAAGCAGGTGTCTGGAATAAGTGAAGAATGAAGATTCCAAGCAGACAGAGCATTTGTGCCAAGCAACAGAGGAGAAGCCTACCCTTAACTGGGAAAGTGGCACGATCGGTCTTGGGTGAGACAATATGCATCCTGGATGAGACAGCAGCAAGTGGAAGCATGAGTGCCAAGTATTTGCCATCTCTGCGCTAGAAGGAACGAAAATTCGGAAATTGGGTTGGCGGAGCAATTGGGATTCTAGTTGAAACAGACAAACTTTACATGTTATCTGAACAGAGGTGACAGTTAAAACGAAGAGTATGTTCATGGACAGACAAGGTGAAGGAAGAGAAGGCAAATAAATGAACCAAATCTTAGGGAATACTCACAATGGAGAAACCAGTGAAGGAGTCAAGGAAGGTAAGTTCAGTAAGGTGTCAGGAGAGCCAATATTGCAGTGTGTCACAGAAGTGAGGCAAGGAGCTCAAGAAGGAGGACATGGTCCACATGGAGCTCTTTGTTGACCTTCACGAGAGTAATTTCAGCAGATTCAATAGTGGTATGCTAAATTGCAAAGGAATGTGTGGTGAAGAAGTAGTGTTTGTCAAAGGAAGGACAACAGAAGGCAATATCAAGGTCAAGAGGAGTTTATTCTTAAATTGTACGAAAGAAATATGCTTATTTGTAGATCTCCTTGTCTTCTACTAACACTTATTGGGCATGCACTAAGGGCCAGGCACTGTGGCAGGTGCTGGGAATACAGAGACGTGGTTCCTTTCCTCTAGAAGCTCGCAGTCGCTTGGTGGAGGCATAGTGGTTGACAGATAGTTATGGGAGTGTGCTGGAAGGGCAGCCAACCAGAGTGGAAATGACGCTAGAGCTGAGCCTTGAAGGAGGATGAGGAATGGGAATTCCTAGTGGCAGAACAGTTCGTGCAAAGACATAGAGGCAGGAGAGAGCTCATGGCATGGTCAGGAGAACTGCAAGTAGGTGAGCCTAGAGAAGCGGGGAAACCAAAGAGGGCAAATGAGGGAGATAAAAATTGCTGGAGCAACATTCCAAAGGAGCAAAAAGAGGCATTTCCAAGAGCCCTGAACATAAGAGAGGTCATTCTTTCTTTCTTTCTTTTTTTTTTTCCCCAAAGATTTTACTCTTTTCCTTTTTCTCCCCAAAGCACCCTGGTACATAGGTGTATATTCTTCGTTGTGGGTCCTTCCAGTTGTGGCATGTGGGACGCTGCCTCAGCGTGGTTTGATGAGCAGTGCCATGTCCGGACCCAGGATACGAACCAATGAAACACTGGGCTGCCTGCAGCGGAGAGCGTGAACTTAACCACTTGGCCATGGGGCCAGCCCCCGAGAGGTCATTCTTTCTGAGACAGCAGGAGAGGAGGAGAAGTCAGATAAAGATACAGGGACACTGAAGGAGTTCAGGGCATATGATCTCAATGTTCTAAAAACAAATTAGGGTATATGACCATCTGCTGAAATTGATGGTTCCAGAGGAGGGACTTCAGGGTGGAGGAGGTTCAGAATACCTACAGCAGGGCAGGCAGACTGAGGTCAGCAAGGAATGAAAGAAAGGATTGCACAGTAGCTCTGAGGGCTCCTTTAAGATAAGGCACAATGTATTATGACTTCCTCTTCACATTCGTGAGGTATGGAAGAAACCCAAGGCAGAAGGTCAAGCACACCATGAATTTCAGGGTCCAAGTGAGGCATCTGATTGGGGATACAGGCTTTAAAGGCTAGAAAATTATAGTTGGACCAGAGGGCAAAGCAAAGCTTCATTAAGGTAAAGAATTGGAAGAGGTTCAAACCATATAATAATAAAAATAACAATAACATGCATTGAGCACATACCAGGTGCCAGGCATTCTGCTGAACCCTCTGATTTACTCTTCATTAACACCCTGTGCAGTAGGAAGTAGTATTATTCTCCATTTCCAGACGAACAAACTTGCCAAAAGTCACACAGAACCAGATTCAGTCCCACGTCTGGCTGACAGGAATCTGTCTGGGCTCTTAAGGGCTTCACTCACACTGAAGCAGCTTCCTGAGCTAAGAGGGAGCATGGACTGGAGCAGAAGCTAGACAGTTGGAACTCTGATCTCTAAGCCTAATTATCTGGCCCTTTCCCTCTCCGCCTGTGTACTTCAGGCAATTCACCCACTTCTGAGTCCCAGGGTCCAGCATCCTCACATGGCTGTTTTAAGTATCAAAAACAGATTTCATCTTTGAAAGCACTTGATTACTTAGCGTATATAAACATAAATGTAGGGTGTTGTACTTGCTATTTTTATATATAATTCTCATTGTTTTGAAATGTACTAGAAAATTTTGGGTGCTGGTAGAGGGAATGACAAGGAGTAGAAGAAAAGGATTTGGGACAAGCTGTCCTATGAGAAGACAAATACAAACTGTAAATAAACTGCAAATACACGTCTAAGCCTTCTAGAATGTATTATGTGGAAAAATTAAATGTACTTCTCGATAGTATCAGCGTATCTTCTAAAATTGGGAACATTAGCCTAATAAATAATTTATCACCATATTTTTCTCCAGGAAAAACAATAAAGGAAGAAAATAAATGAACCATTACTGCCAAAAGAAAAAAAAAAGCATTGTAGCCAATTTGCATCTTACTTGATGCCCATTAACGTAGCATGGAGAGTGAATGACTTTTTTTTCTTCTAAGCTTCTTGAAAGAGCCTTCAAAATTATCTTGTTTTTTAAAAAATCTGAGGTATTATACTATGTTTTAAAAATAAGGTTCTTATCTTAAGGTTGGTACATAAGTCATTCATGGTACTGACGTCAATTAACTGGAATCCAAGAAAATGTACAAACGTACTAACGGGCTTTTTTGTTATTTCATTTGATGAGATGGAAAATCATAAGAAAATCAGTAGGGAAGGAGGAGACTTTTTTTATTTAAGCAAAGAAACTTGCAGAATACCCCTGGAGTTGGCAA